TGTGTTCACTTTAGAGATTGAGTAAAGAATCATTCTTACCAATTGATGTGTAGCATACATACTATGCGGCTCTATGCCCCACTAGGGAAAACGGATACTAAGAAGAAGAATACATAATATAAACAAATACATCCGTTACTCATTTGGTGTGTGGACGACTTGAGAAAAGTATTATTCACACATTCTAAAGTCACACTATATACGCAACAGCATTAAGTGCTGATCTTGTAATAATGAATTTAAGCACTTTGAAGCAGCTCTAAGAAACAGAAGCATTTGAGATGTCTGAGCAACAACGTTTAAAGATTATTCTACATTAAGAAACAAATCTTCGTAGAGGATATTTGCAATATCTATGAAATGGCCAGGTGACAAACGATATGAAGCCATTCGATACTATAGGCCGGAAACAGTAAAGTACTGATCGAGCTGGCTGAAGCAGTCTCCTGGAAGCGGTCAAGAGCGAATTGCATTTGTAATGGCTAACTAAGTAAGCAAGTAAGCATTTTTTAAACCTAACTTTTAAGTAAGTGTAAACAGATTAATAAGAATCAAGGAAGATGTTGGATATAATAAAGGTGACTTACCTTCACGCTAAAAATAGAATCTATGGCAAAAATTTTAGAAGACAAACTTATAGATAGAAATAAAAAATAAAAATATTCGTTATGTATGTTATGTATATTCAATACTGATGTTGAGGTGGTAAGTTTTAAATATTAATGTACTTTCTCCTTAATCTTGATTTCTTCTGATTTTCATTTAATGGGTTCGCAATACGCCGGCTAATATTTCTGCAGTTATCGCCGTTAAAATTAATAAATGCATTTCAAAGCCATTGTTCCTTTCAATAGATCTGGTGAGAGAAAATTAAATTTTCTTTCTAAAAATATTTTCCCTTCTATGTCGACCGCTGAACTTTTAGAATATATGCTTTTGTATAGACAAACTGTGTCTTTGTGGTTGTTATCTGATTAAGGTTTGATATATTTGGTAAGATCAAAGCTTTATGAAATTTCATCTTTTTTCTGGCTGAAGGAAGGGTTGATGAAATGTAAGATGACGGTATCCTTTTTGCAATATTAAAATATTCTGCTTTGGGCAATATTTACATAAAGAAAAAAGTTGAAACAAAGAATGTACATCCATACAATCGGAAATTTCATTTTATTTTGATAAATAATATATAAGCATAATGTAATACCGGGGTGTTCGCTAAGAATCTGATATTGCTAATGAGCGGTCACCTTCTTTGTTAACCGGTAATCCTCTATAGTAGTACGCAGTAATGGTATAATATTTTATTTTTTGTTGTATAAGACAGATCTGTGATTTTTTATAGTCTATGATGTGT